AAAAGCAAAAGGTAGCCAATATAATAAAATTTCCGGATAAAAAAAAAAAATATTTCCTACATAATACAGAGAATATTAGATAATTTCAGAAGATTTTTCAATCAAATAGAAGAGAAAAGTTAATTATTCTTTGCTAATTGTGAATTAAAAAACTGATCAAAATTTTCTAAAATGATAAGAAAGTGATTTTCAATCAAATGAATTTCTAATTATTTGCAATTGCGACGAAAATAAAAAAAAGAAAAAACGACTGATGTCGTTTTAAATGATTTCATTCCAATCCTTTTAAATTGGTAAATATTCTGATCAAAAGAACTCTTTAATGATAATATTAACTTTTCTATCCTATGAAAGATTATTATTGAAAAGATTCTATAGCTTATTTGATGAATAATTAACTGAAAACCAGTAATCAATTCAATAATAGTTTGGGATACTTAAATAAAAGGCTTTCTGCACAAGCAGCAATAAGCTTAAAAACTGTTTGTCGAAAATGAGTAATTAAAAGAACAGTTAGTGAATGAAAGAGAAAATGAAGAAACTATTAGTATGGCCTCTTCGTCATTAATTTCAATGACGCCATAAAAGTAAAGTTTAATAAAAGGAAAAAGTTAAAATGAAAACAATCACAAGAAAAGAAACCCTCCAAGTAACAGCAGGAAAAAAAATCCTTCTTAAATAGTTAATCCTAATAATCAATAAATTATTTGTCAATTTTTTTTTTTGCAAGAATCTGAAATAAATAATTTGAGATGACACTGAAACATCTTAATGTTAATCCTATCGCTTCCTGACTGGTAATAATAACGCCATGATAAGGCAAAATAAGAATGTTAGATTGTGATATTCCATAAATAAAAAAGGCATCTCTATGAAGCAAAGAAAAAAAAGAAAAATCGAAAAAGCATATTTCGTTAGTTTACTTCTTTTCATGGATAAGCTTATCTATATAGATTTATAAAAGGATGCGGAATTTTTGTAAAAGCGCTAAAGAAACGAAATATTGGATGGTAATAGTAGAAAATCACTGATGAAATAGAAAAGGTAAATTGGAAAGAATGGAATGACCTGCTTCGAGAGCTTTATAATAAATTTGATGGAATGGCACAACTCCCTTATCATTTAAAATTACAATACTTTTCCTTATCGCCGAATTTCATCACATTATCTTTCCAACTTTTCAGCATGAATATTTTACAAAGGCAGGAAATTTTAAATAACCGAACTCGACGGATCATTCGCTTGCATATTTTGCATTCACAATGGCAACCTATATAAATCTATCTGGATCTTCCAGTTCATTTCAACGATTATTTGATAAATTTTTTCCTGAACAATATCAAATCTATTATCATTATAAATCTCTTTACCCAAACAAATTACATTCAGTTATCTTCACATATTATATCAATCCATTCAATTAATAAATAAAATTATGCAGTAAAATTATAATAAAGTAAAATTATCGTCACAGCATACTACTAATTAAATAAAACAGTGCTTATTTTAACTAAAGGAATCCGAGAAAAATATTTCATTAAACATATTAATTAACATCACAATATTCTGTTCACAATAAAGTAACTACTTGATACTTTACTAATTTTATTAAATATGAATAAAAAATTAAAACTCACCTAAATTTCCGAATAATGGAAATTATTTTTATGCCTAATAATAAGGTGAAACTTCCAAATACCCGTATAACCTAACAGTTCTACCGTTGTTGTTTTACTTCGGTTTAGAAAAAAGATTAAGCATTGCAACTAAAAAAAAAATCAAATATGTATGTGTCATAATGTAACAAGTATTTCGAGCATGGAGAATATACAGTTGTACATTTTTTGTTGAGAGATATGTATCATGATTTCAATTCAATAAAATAAGTACATACAGCACAGAAACGATTAAATTACAGCATGTACATGCAGAAAAAGGACATCAATTCCAAAAAATTAACGAAAATTAGAAATATAGCGAATGAGCAAGCACAGGAAAATTCGAGAAATGTACATACGAAAAGTAATCTCACAGCTTCAAAACCGCAAAAATCTGTGGCACATATATGAAAATGAGTCATTCACTGCACTTACTTTGAATTTTGAAAATTTGCGAAGTGGCAAGAACTATTATTGATAAAAGTGACAATGCCTTTCATATTTTCAGCCTCCTGTACTCCTCTTTCCTTTCTCATCCGTCCTGCTGTGCGCAATGATACAAACATCATTATAAAAACAAGCGAAATTAAAACTCCAGTTCTTAAAATCCTTGATTGAATTTCAGACAATCTTTGATTGAACTTCAGACCTTGTAAGTTTATTATGAGCAAATAGCGACATAGAAAATAATAATATAAAAACTATAACAGACTACACTCTCTGCTTGCACTGAATATTAACTCGGTACTTTTTGTTTCAATTAAGACCCAAAAAAGTTTACCAAGCAATTTTAATCAGCTAGGAACTTTATGAAATAATCAGACTTGGACGAAAAATTTGTACAGAATGAGTTTTATGAATTTAATCATTCAGTAAAATGTTAAAATAATATTTATACAGAAGACATTTTTAGTTTCTTAGTATCGGCCATCTTTCTACCACACATTGCACAAATAGCTTTTTGATATGCACATTGCTGGCAGTAGTGTGAACCAACCTGATGAACAACAGTCTTGCAAATTCGACATTTTTTGAATTCCTGACTGTATGGCTGGAACCTGTAATTCAAATAAAGAGAAATTTTTCACTGACCCAATCCCGAATTCTTTGCTGCGTGTATTAATCATATACTCGTAGCCATTTTAAATAAAAAGCTTTGGACAATTAGATTTGACGAGAAACCCCACAAAAGATCGAAAATAATAGCACTGAGGCATTGTTTTTCATTCATAACTAGCATATACCAAATAACAAAACAAATGATCTTGGAAAGTAAAAAGATACCTGTCTTTTCTGGTTGAAAGAAGTTTATTTCCGTCAGCACCTTTCTTTATCGGTCCCGCACTTTCGTTGCGTGATTTCGTTCGATACGGATCAATAGTCGCTATCTTACCAAGTTTTTTTACACCTTAAAAACGATAATGTGAAAGTGGAAAATAGGATGGAAATTTGAGCACGAGAGGAAATCCTTTAATTCATAAGATAGTAAAGAAGAAAGAAGGCAAAATTTGTTCAAAAAAAAACCGAAAAGAAAAACATTCAAAAATCGAAGTAAAAATTAAAAATTTTCCTTGAAATAAAAGAACCTACATGAATCGCACACCATTTCTAGTATTGGATTTCGAGAAATTCTATATGTTTGTTCCTTAAAGGTCAATTTTAAACAAACACTAGCAATGCATGTTACCGTTTTTGCAACATTAACGAATTGAACGACACACGAAATGGATAATAAAAAAAGAGCAACTGCATATAATAAATAATGAAAAAGAATAATTTATGCAAAGTTAAACTGGGAATAAAAAAAACTTAGCAGGCTTGCATTAAGAAAAGCCATAACAAAATACATCATGGAAGAAATCTTAAACAATAAATTAGCAAAAATCGAATGCCGAAAAAAGTTCGAAAGTACTGCAATTTGCTGGAAAAGAAATGGGAAAAGGATCGAAATGGCAACGGCTTTTTAGTCATTCCTCTAATCTATAATCAAATTTATGATCTGATTCTATTGACTATGATGGAGTGCAATGGAAAACATAATTTGAAAAAAAAAAAATTTCTATCAATACCTTTCACAATTCCACCTTTCTCTCGTGCAAATTTGTCGGAAGTAGGATGGATATAACATTTTTGCATTTCACCGAACTGCTACATAAAGGATTCATCATTTTCATGATATCTCGACACCATTAAGTTTGCTACCCTGACTGACCGCAGTGAAAATTTGCTTTCTCGTAGGTTTGTTTTATTTTTTTATGCGTGATGGTCCATTTACCTCCCGTGTAGCTCTGTTGTATGCTTTCTGATTTCTGGTCACTTAATGAATTCTTAGGATAGTTCTCTGAATATCTTTTACACTATAAAGTTCACATAAAGTGACAGTACATCAGACTTACTATAAATGATTTCATATCAACCAAGTTAATCTCCATAATCGATAAAACAATGCATGGAGTTACTCCGTTATGCATTATATGACACGAAAGTTGGAACTTTTAGTGCGGTGCCATCTCTTATCGATTTATCAGAGAGATTAGAGTAATCTACATACTGTCACAGCAGGCATTACCTTAAGTAATCAAAAATTTTAATAGACGGGTGCCAGAAGTATTGATAGGAGATAGAAGGCGGATTGAAGGAAATATGCGAAAGTGAATAATCCAACTTATAAGGCACATACGCATAAAAATGATAATAAGATCCAGGTTGTTGCAAGTTTAATATAATTTTGATATCATACACCTGTATATTGCTGTAGTTACGAATTGTTATAAGACAGAACGAAAACAGATGGGATACATTAATTTAACCCTTTTCTTTCACTTTTCACCGTTTTAACATATAGCGGAAATGGGCCTGTCATATTCAATTCAAATAGTAATAAAAAGTGCAGTATCGAACAGAAGACTTGTGTTCCATTCTATGGGTTACTGTAACGTACGGATATATATGTATATATATATACAGATGTGCAGTGAGTTGAGGTTATGGCTTCAGCGGATGTCCGGGTATGAGCGGTATGAGCAGTATATGTCGAGAGCGAATGTTGCAGTAGTATCAGTGTCCTTGATGCATACGAAGTGATATGAGAGTTGCAGGGGTAATCTCCTTGGTGGAAGTATAACCAGTAATGATCATTTCGGTATTTACAAAATGATAATTATCGCTAGGGGAGATAAGCATTTACAAATGGAAGGAAGAGCTGTGCAACTGTTATAGATGGCACGATAAGATGGCTTGTCTTTAGTAGTATCTAATTAAAATTCTGAAACAGCCCTTTGCCAACTTTTTTGCTTCCTTTCTCCCAATAAGCCATACTCCTCATGAGATACAGGATAGATGACAAATTAGACAGAATTACTCTATCTTTTATGATGATTATACAACGTTGTATGATCATCCGATTCATGATACGTAGCGGCAACTTGTTCACTTTTTGACGTTCAGTATCATAAAATTACAGGTGATGTTGGATTTTGATCGATGGTTGTTCAATGTTTAACGAATGCGATTTTAACAATTGCTGATGAGAAGAAATGAGTATATCTGCATGCCAGAACGATCACGGGAGTTATACTCTTAATGGCAGTTCCGTCACGACCGGTGCAGCTGCAAAGGTTATCGCCCAATTCTCAACTAGCAATTGATGAATTATTTGTATACTCTCATCAGATCTAACAAGGATTTTAAAATTTCACCATTCTTTTTAAGCTACAAATTATTAATGGAGTCGGTATGATCAGGGATGTTATTTTTAATCACTCGGTGAAGAGTGGCTTCTAGCTTTTAATAATAAAAAACTCTTAATTTGTTTCGTGACGAGCTAAAAAGTTAATGAAATAATTACCCATATTCATTTCTCTACATCAGTCAGTTGTTACCGTTCTTCATAATGAATATAAAGAATGGTAACAACTAATCGTCACAAACTGAAATGACAGTTAATTTTGTTGTTTTCATAAACTAGTTTCACGTTTTCGTGCTCTTTAAATTTCAAAATGAATAATAAGACTTTAGCGATTCGTTATTAATGGAGGATCAAGCCTGTTTTATACTACATTCAAAATTGGATGGAGTATTCACTGAAAAAGTGATCGCTCTGTAATCTAGTGAAAAATTAGATGTATTGCGGTTTCACTTATAATGAACTAACGTAATTTTGGATGCAAATACAATTCTTCAGGGTTCAATATGGCATTCCAATACGACGAACAGTTTTTTAGAAGGATTTAATTCACAACATTCAATTTCAACTAGAACTAGTCTTTTGGAAACTTCTGGTTCACAGCATTCAACCGTATTGGAGTTTTCTCAATCTCAGACTGATTCGTTTCATCTCGATGTTCCTGTACATGAAGATGATGGGCACTTGGAATCGATTGTTTATGCTGTAAATTTGTGTTTTTTAATTTAGAAAATGGAATTGTTCATGTTTCATGGTTTTATGTTTCTAGTACTTGTTAAAATCTTGCATACCTAACGTATGAATGTTAACAGACTGGTCGAAAGATGGGGTATGAGAAGCAGACCGAGGAAGCTCCGCCTTCAACAAGCTCCGAAATTGCTGACCGATATGATTCAGATGAAGATGGAGAGATTGATATCCAAGTAACCTTTTGGTCTCGTTTGAAAATGAAAGATTAATGTTTCTGGTTGTCTTTTCAGCAGTATTTTGAGTAATTTTAGATTCGGAACGTTGTTTGCAATTATACACTTCCACTGCATATTGATTTGCATCGCGTAGCTTTAAGTTCAGGCAATGTCGCATTTGATCGAGGTCGAGGAGTAAGTACTTTGAATTGTGTTTTTCAATCATTCAGAGTGATTGCTGACATGAAATTTCTTACCGTACAGTTTATTTGCAATTCAGTGCCGGTGGAGCCACGATTTAAAATGTTTAATTTTGTATGTAATTTCAGATTATATTTCAAATTTCGAAATAATTACGTATTTCACAGTTAACAAATTACGTATTTCACAGTTAACCGTGCTTCAAGAAGTGCACTGCTTTTGATTAATTTATGTCTTGTATGAAAAACCAAACATCATACTGCAAATATTTTGATTTCTCAGAACTTGCGTTTAATTTTATAATTAAGTAATTTTAGGTTTTGTTGAAGCAGAAGAGAAATCCTTCGTGCTACGTTAAAATATACAGCTCCGGGAAAATTTATATTGTCGGATGTCGCAGGTACATTTAATTGTTAAGCTTGCAAACCGTTTTCTTCCAACAAAATAAAGTTTCATTAGCGTTTCTAAATTTACTCAAAGTTAGAAGTATTAAATATTTAGCGAAAGCGAATGCAAGCGTGCTGCTAGGGGTGTTGCGCGCATGGTCCAAAAAAGCATGGGCAGAATGATGGACGTTGTCCGAATTCGGAATTATCGCGTTTGTAACGTACTTGCAACTTGTAAAATGCCTTTTGGTGTAAAAATTGAAGAAGTAAGTTGCGTTTTTATTTGGCTGGCAAAACCGTGCATGAAAATCTTTGACAATTTTTTAGCTAGCGCAAAAATATCCAGATCGTTCTCAATATGAACCAGAATTATCAGTTGGCCTCATATGGCGTTCTACAAATCCTCGAGCCACTCTCCGAATTCATACCACAGGCAGCATTACGGTTACTGGAGGCAAGTTTTCAAATGTTGAATTTGATAAAAATTATGAAATCTAAAGAATAATTAGAAAACGAGGTTTCAAATTTATCTGATTTTTTTTTCGTTTCCAGCTGCGTCGGAAAATGATGTAATGAAAGCAATTGAAGTAATTTATCCAATTATCAAGGAATTTCGGTGTGCTTTACGTTTGCGTAATGCCACCATTTCGAAGCCTTCACGTAAAAGGAAACATGGGGTATCTAATAATACCAACAAAAGAACTTATGCTATGCAGGTTATCATTTATTTATAATTGAGAAAAATTTTGAAAAGAACAAATTTAGATGAGTTGAGTTTATTAGTGTCGTATGACTCCATCCCTATGTTTCTCGTAGCCGGTACTAACAGTTGAAATCTTTGACTAAGGCTTACTATAAGGTTAATTTTGAAATGAAGTGTTTATTTCAATAACAGATTACCGAGTTTCTTTAGGTAATCTTGCACTCGTTGAATTAATTATTAGTACACTACGAATCAATGTTGATATTGATGAACGTTTCAGCCTAGTTTACATGGATTCCAACGGTTCCCGAGCTCTTCTGGGGTTTATGGAAACCGAGTTTATTTCAGTGATGAAGATGATGAAGAAGAGGATGAGTTTGAAGACGTTGTCTAATAACCATTTCTTATTCCTTTCACATTGTTGTTTTTGTGCAATAAATCAATTTTGGATGGTTTTATTTTTATTTAATTTACTTTTTTTCTTTATCATCATTTTTCATACAGTGAATATAAGAATTTATAAGTTGACTTAACTGTCGCTCTGTACTGCTTCACCTACTTATTACTTATATATTTATCTGCACACGAGCTTATTAATATTCCGTATTTACTTCATTCAATATCTAATCGGATCATTTACAAAGCTTAAGTATGAGCTTTGGAAGCTCAAAATTTTCTGATAGGAATGAAATTGATGTCTCTGCTTCCCAATAATTGCCGCGTTGAAATATCTCAACTACACAGCTTTCATTTAATGTTATCCAGATAATGTTGTTCTTGTGTACCATACATCTCGTTTTTTTGCTTGCATCCTATGGAGCAATCCTAATTTTTTCATTCTGTTGAATATTTTCAAGAAAAATTAGAGTTGAATACATTTTTCTTCTGCAACTTTTCTTTTGTAAATGGCTACGTTTTTGTTCTTGTCTTTTTTTGAAATAAACAATTTGGCATATGCGATGGTACATCGTCAGATAGACTACTGGCAGGAAAGGAGAAGGAAGTGGGTTCCTGGATTTCTCCTGCTATTTCATAATTTTTAAAATGTGAGCTTTGAGGATTGTAGTGTTAGCATATACTTAAAACGGTCTTAAATTTTTCTTGCAAACTGAACAAAAAGGTTAAAGGGAATCTATGGGAATAATGCGAATCATAAAAATACAACATCTAGCAACAAGGGGTCAATATGGTCAGGAGACTCCAGGCCGTACATGCTATGTAATAGTAAATGCGCTTACAGGATAGTTATTTAATTTCGAAATTTGAGATACTGATCAGATTGTACATTATAATATTAAATCTGCCTAAATAAAAGGTGATATTTCATTTTTTTGAGTATGAATACGAGCATTGAAATTTTACCAATATATTACATACATCATAGTGAAAAGTTCTACAACCATTTATAGCAGTCCAAAATAGGAATTTTCCAAAAAAAAATTTTCCATATATAAAGAAAAGAAGAATGCAACACTTGCAAATTCAAAGACTCAGTTACACATTTCAATGACATTATAACTTGATGATTTGAATAAGCAAATTACTGATTTATGCATGAAATTTTTGAAAATTTTATCACATAGCAAAATCCCTATATGTAACAGAATTTTCAAACTTTATTAACTATTAAAAAGCGCATCCATTTTAATCAAAACAAGATCAAGAAAGCGTGACTTTTGCAAAATTCAGAGCGATTTCAGCAGCTTCCTCTACTAATTCAGTATTGTTTCCTGTTGCTTGTGCTTGTGTTATTGTACCACCCCCTCGACCATCAAGCACCTTGCATACTTTCGAAATCCATTCCGACGCCTGCAGTCCTTTATTTGCAACATCCTGCAAAAATCTTAAGTGTGTTCTATCAAACAAAATTATAAAAACACGGTCAAAATAATCAAAAATTTTGATGAGTAATTTCATAGAGCGCTAACCTTGGAAACACGTGCTACAACAATCACTTTGCTAATATCATCGTTGATTGAAAATCCCATGATAGCATGAGATTTCTTTATCGATTTTAGAGCACCATCTAATATCTGAATATTTTAAAAAATTGCAAAGTCTTAAATTAATTTGCAAAAAGATGACATGAAGAATAGAGCTCGATTATAGAAACGGAATATATTTCCCAATTTTCAGAAAAAAATGCATGTGCATGCAACACTTACTTTTCCATTAGCACCTTTGCTGAAAATATGAACAGTAAATAGAGTATCACCGCTTAGTGCAGCATCCAATTCACTAGCTTCACGTTGTATCTGAAACTGATTTGATAAAACATTTAAATTTTTGAAAATTAATCAAAGGAAGCTAAATATCGCCGCAATTAGCATTTTAATTTTTAAAAGTCCACTAAATTCTCTGGTGATTTTAAAAAAAAAATTTCAAACCTTATCAATAAGTGTTGTTTTTGCTTCGCGATCACGCATATCCAATAATTTCTGCAGCGCTTTCGCTTTTTTCCGGATGTTCTCTTTACGACAGTAGGGCAATTGTGATTGATTAACTTCCTGAAAAGATTAAAATTATTCCATTCTACAAGCACTCTTTCGGTAACATTTTTGTAAAGAATATGAAGCCAAACCTCAATTAATTCAAGAACTCTTTTGGTTGCATTTTTCAATTGTATTCTGTCGAGAGTTACATGATTAGCCATTAATTCATTATGTATTTCTGCTACTCGTTGTTCCAATCGGTCAGCGCGCTGTATCGCTCGAGAAGCTTCCGGTCCCGTAAGTGCGATAACTCGTCGAATGCCTTTTGCAATAGCTTCCTCCACAGTAATTACTAGTTTGCCAACATGGCCAACATTATGTAAATGTCTAAATAAATTTTATGTGATCAAAATAAATCAAGTTTCCTCTATTTCCATAGAATTTACTACAAAGCTTCCGAACAATAAGTGAAACTCTTCCTCCATCCGAAAAAAATTAAAAGAAATTAAACAAACAAATTTAAAGTTTTCGAAAATTCGCAACAAGTAAATCAATAAATTTGTCACTCAACAGAACTTCATAACCACAACAGAAAGGCGTACGTGCCACCGCAGAATTCAACAGCAGTGTTGATAGCTAAATCGCTATTTTTGTTTTTTAAAAGTTTTTCGATAGGTACGCCAACACTTACTACCCTCACTGGGTCCGGATAAGCCTGAAATTATAGCACAGTAAACACTTGTGATACGAATGCATAAGTTGTATTCTTTCAAATTAATTTTTAAACCTGAGCTGGGCAAAAGTCGAATATACCTTCAATTACAATTAAAAAAGGCCATTAAAAAAGCAGAAAAATGAGTTTGGTTTGATTAATCCAGGTCATATGTAGGACTTAGCAATGAATAATTGCTAATCAACTTTCTTTACCTCTTCAAAAACTGCACGTAATCCATTGATTTGACGAGCCTCCGCTAGTGGAATATTTTCGGCAAACACAGTCGCATTTGTATCAATTAACATTTGCGATTCCTTTTCTACCATTCCTATCTTGAAAATTAGATTAACTGTAAAACTACCTTCTGGAATTTTGTTCCGGATTTCTCCCGTAAAATTAGAGCATATTTTTTCGAATGTGGAAGTAACCTGCTCATATGTTAGAGATTGCTTGGAAGTTAAATCGAATCGAAGCCTGTCTGGAGCAACCAATGAACCTTTCTGTTCAACTTCACCAATGACCTTCCTCAAGGCAAAATTAAGAACATGGGTTCCGGTGTGATTCTTCATTATTAGATTACGACGTTCCTATAAGGGGAAAACTTTCGAAAGACGAACATTGAATGTAAATCTGTGAGAATTATCAGTTTCTAACTTTCGCTTTTCTTTTTCATTTTCTCCCTCCTTCCGTCTTACCTTTTCCCTCAGCTTTTTATCTTTTTGCAATTTTAGCCTACTTTTCCTACAGAAGAAACATGCACCACAGAGCCAACCTTAACAAGCCAAACATATTGCTTTTTCTTTTGATATTAGAATTCCCTCATTCCGCAACGCTTGAAAGAATTATGATTCAACTGCAATTATACCTCATCAATTGTCTGAATTACTTTATCGCCCACAGATAATTCTCCTTCCACAATACCTACAAGCACGATGTATCCACCGCGGATCTGAACATTGTTTACAATAAATTCACTTCCCTGCAAGCATTTCAAAAATCGAAGCGTATAGTTTATGATTCATGTAAAGGAAAATTAATATTTTAATTCTTAAGCAAACAGAAATCTCTTTCTTGGAAACTCTGAATGGTTACTGAAAAATCTTTGCAAATAAAACAAACCTCATCTTTTATGAGAACACCTGTATCAAATATCTGTCCTCCTTGTTCAGCATAAAAATTAGTTCTATCAAGGATTAATGCACCGAAATCACCCGAATTTAAAGTGTCCACAAATATTTTATTCTTTCGCAAAGCAAGAATAACACCCTCACATTTTTCAAAACCTGCAAACTTTGTCGTAATGTCATGACAGCTCAAACTAAATTTTTTTCTCAGCTCTTCAAAACCTTACTGTACATCGTTTGCTGATCTTCGAGAGGTAAAGCATGATATTTATATTTCGGTGAGTCATCCGTTGGTGGAATCTCTCTGCTTTTTAGTTCCGAAATTGCATTAACATCCAAATCAATAGTGTCACGCATTTTATTGGCATGAGCAGCCGATATTCCCTAGAATTTTATCAAGTTTTTGCTAAATTCAACTAAATATTTCATAAATATTGAAACCTGTTTAATTTTTGCAATCTTGCTTTAAAAGAACACTAACAGCTGCTTCCTGCCTGCATTTTTCGAATACTTCAAAGTCGATTACAAGGCCTCTTTCTTCAGCCATAAGTTGAGTTAAATCTAATGGAAATCCATATGTGTCATATAGGCGCCATGCAACATCACCTAAAAAAATAACAGTACACTGTTTAAAGAAGAAACGATACAAAGCAGGCATGCAAAACAAAAAATTGATCCAACCAGGAAAAATCTTTCGTCCTTCAAGACCAGCAACCGCTTTCTGGAATAGTATCCGACCTCTGTTAAGTGTTTTTAAAAACTGCTTCTCCTCATCATTGATAATGTCCATAACAGTTTGTGGGTCTTTGCGCAATTCCGGAAATGTTTTTCCCTACAAGAATTATTTCACAGTTGAGAAGATAAACATCAGGAAACAAACTAGGACAAAAAATTAACACTTACAAGTAAATTAACAACGACCGGTACCAACGACGACAAGAAACCCGGCGGTGCAGATAATTTTTCATTGGCATAACGTATGCCACGACGAAGAATACGTCGCAAGACATATCTGTAAATAAAAATCGAACTACATGGGAATAAAACGAAATTATAAGGTATACCAGACTTGAAAATGGATAAGATTAGTGCTTCAATATTTGAAAGAAAAAAATGCAGCATCTATTAAAGATGACATACGAACCCACGGCCGGTATTATCTGGTCGTCCGCCATCAGATAAAGCGATAGAAAGAGTACGAATATGATCTGCAACTACTCGATAAGCCATATCGATGCCATCGACATCATCAGCACCTACTTTGCCGCTATAAGGACGTATCTTTGTGCCCTACAAAAAAATCTTTATAAAAAATTTTAAAATTACTTTGAAATTAACTCTTTCAATCATCAAAAAACTGATTCAGTTCAGAGCAAAGGAAGATGAAGAAAGCTTCAATTAAATAATAATGTTAGCAATATAAACTACATTTTTCAAATTGAATCAAGTGGCTGTGCTTAGTTCATCACACAGTAAAACCAATGCAGTAGCATCTGGTGAGATGGCACGCATTACCATAACAAGAAATGCACTTATCACAACAGTTACCAGTAATAATTTTCATCACCAAGTTATACGCTGGAAACTTACATTATATATTGCACTAAAGAGAGGTATGAAAATATCTGTGTCGTAATTTGATAGTTTATTTTGCAAAATAGCAACAAGCCTTTCAAAACCTAAACCACAGTCAATATGTTTGCGTGGTAATTGTTTTAACGAACCGTCTTTCTCCCTAAAATTGTAATAAATTTAGAATGACATTTTATGATTTTTTACTGCTTCTCTTAAAAATTGAATCATTGCAAGCTTGTTACCTGTTGAACTGCATGAAAACAAGATTCCATATTTCAACAACCATTGGATCATCAGCATTCACTAAATGTGAAGCATCTCTATCACCTATACGGTCATAATGTATTTCCGAACATGGTCCACACGGTCCAACATCACCCATCTCCCAAAAATTGTCTTTCATCCCGAATGATAAAATATGTGACGACGGCACTCTAAAAACTCTTCAAGAATCAAAATTTCTTGACACTCTAAGATTTCCACACAAATGAAAACGTAAAAAAAAAACAAAAATGGACCAACAATGGGAATACTTTAACTTAGAGCTATTTACATCAGTTCTCAATAATATCTGAACCGAAATTTTAATTTAGATGGATGTACTAATAATGAAACAAATTAAGCATTATAAAAGTTAACTACCCGATATTCAGCCATATTTGTCGACACTCTTCGTCAGCGGCAAGACCAGCTTTTTCATCGCCACCAAAATAAGAGATATATAAACGTTCTCCAGGTATTCCTAACACTTTGGTCAGCAATTCCCATGCCCAATTGCATACTTCCAGCTCAAAAATAATATCAATAAAAGCAATCATTCAACAAATGAAAATTTTTACAGCTTTAATTGGACAACACATTTTGAATAAGTTGTTAAATCAATTTTTGGCTGAACCTTAAAATAATCCCCAAATGACCAGTTTCCAAGCATCTCGAAAAATGTGTGATGATAGACGTCTTTGCCAACATCATCTAAATCGTTATGCTTACCACCAGCTCGAATGCATTTCTGAGTATTTACCACTCGCTTGAGCTTCGCCATTTCACTTGATGGTTCTACCGTGCCCAAAAATATGGGCTTATACTAAAATACCTTCTCTATTTAAGATATGGAAATGTCATAGTACTTTTAAATTATTCCAAATGTAAGTTTCAAATAGCACTTAATTTACTAAATTCTCTAGTCTAATCTCCATTAATAATTCAGGAATTATTCTTGAGCATTAAAGTTAACGATTAATCATAGAGTGATTGTTCTATTATGACTAATAAATCACATAAATCACATGACAATCGTAGCGTGATTATATCTTTTATGACTACTGAAATCGCATAAAAAAATAGCTACTTGATTCATGCCAGCATTAGCAAACAGTAGCGTTGGGTCATCGAATGGAATGACCGATGATGAGTGTACATATGTATGTCCACGATCCTTGAAGAAATTAATAAAGGTGGCACGAACTTCATCACTGGTTAGTGTTTGCATCTAAAATACAATAGTATGAATTTAAAAAAAAAAAAAGAAACTGCTCGAAATTCTTTCTAACTTGCAGATGATCGCTAAAGAAGAAAAGAAACAAAAAGCAATTATGTTTTTCACGGAATGACTCAAAATCAAAAATTCCAAATTCTAAAATAAATTACAGCTTGAACAACTACTTTCTCTTTAAGGGCAGTAAAATGAAGAAATCCGTCAAACCAATTGTTATAATGGAAAACTTCCAAAAGTAAACCATGTGGAATTGAATTCATTTTTCATTATTAAGCTAAAATAAGCTCATTTTGCATTAAATGGACAATGGAAAGGAATGGAATGATTCACCTTTTTTTTATTTATTGAAAAAAAATTTCTCTCTGTGTGAACACGTAGTGTACTTTTATGCTATGTTCAATACGTTGGTGATAAGATTATGATAAAAAGAGACTCCAATAAATTACAACTTGTTCTTAAATGATTATTTATACCATATATTTTAAATTAACACTCAATCACCATCCGTATTTTTCAGCGATTAACGGAGCAAAACTATTTACAGGCCAAATATAATAATCAATAAAAGTTTTCACTCCTGAGAACACGAATAAATGTACAGCAGGTAGATATACGCTTTACCTGCTGTTATAACAAAAGATAATAATACAACAAAAGTAGAACTCTAAGAAGGATTCATAAAATTATGCATTGAATTTTACTTAATTTACATTCTTTAAACTATTAGTGGCAATTGATAACTTGCTCGTGCAATCTATCTGTATTTTTTTCTCCTTAGAATTGAAATTTTAAACAAAATTCCTGCCAAACTAGATGATATTAAATTAAACCGAGAAGCAATCTTACATTATATAGGAAAGAATATAGCAAAATACTCTTTCCCACATGATAAGAAATTTGAAAGTTTATAAAAGAGATCAAATTTTAAATTTAAATTGGAGGATTTAGATGCATGTATAAATCTAAATCTGCTGATTTAAATTTACAATTAAATCCAATAAATTTTCAAAATTAATCTTCATGTTCAATTTTTTGTTTTCTTTTTTTAAAGATAAAGATTAGAATTAATTTTGTGAGAAAATTTATGTTCTCATATATGAACAAATTCTGAAGAACGAAGACAATCATTTCTCTCTCTCTCTCTCTCCCTTTCCCTCCCCTCTCTCTCTCTCGCTTTAGCAACATCAAAAATTAGAGTTGTATACAAACAAAACATAAAACGAAGCACATTTGCTCAGAAACAATCCCGCGGGAAAAAAAAAACGGAACTTCAACGAAATGATCGGCGCAGCATATTGTCCGATTGTACAATAATTCACAATGTCTTATATAACGGATCGCTATGAAATCGCTTGTCTAATAGCAAAAATTTGAGAATGCTTACATTTAAAAGTGTGCACATTCCGATCTTTGAAATTCACTTCAGGTAAGGGAGCAGCCAAGATTTCTTCATGTTTTTTTTTTTTTAGATTATATGCTAAGAATTTCTACAAGCTATGATTTTTTGTAAGCTAAGATTTTTTTTTGGAGAGCTAAAAAAAATGTTCATTTTTGTAATCTTTTTTTCGTGCTATAAATGTATGTTATTTATATATGGAATAGAAAAGAATACTTGCAAATTTATTCGATCCGAAATGATATGTTATGATATATCATATCATAGTGGAGCCAAATAAATAAAATAAAGAAATAATTTAATAATAATTTAGGCTATACTGTAATATATCATGCAATTAGAATATTCGAGATATTGCATGATTGTAATAATGCAAAGCTAACCTTTGAACCGATTAAATTGAAGTATAAATAAATTCAATTATTTCATTCAGTTATTCACGACTGAGATCATTTAGATAAACAATCGAATTCTAATTGCTTAATTGATTATTTGACATATTTATTTGCTCTGATTTATATAGTTCAAGATATCAAAGTATGAATAATATTCGATTAAGAATTTCATAATTATTTCATTTCTCTATAGCTAATTTCAATCTAAGCATTAGTCTAATTTTTTCATTCACAAAGTATTTTGATTTTTTTCGGAGGAAAAAATGAAAATGACAGGGAGAAAAGATTATTTATGATTCATTCATCATAATTCAACTAAACTTTAATCTAATGTTAGACAATAAGAAATGAAATGCTATTTATATTTATTCAAGAAAAATTTATTCATTTTAATACCTTTAGATTTATCTTTTCTGGATAAAAATATTGGTTGGTAATGAAATTAAATGTTAAAAAAAATTAGAAAAATGAATGCAACATGTAAAGTTGAATGATAAATTTTACATTATTTATGATAGTTTTTTCAATTAAAAAAACTGAATTGGAAATGACTAGCACAATTTGAGAGATATCTTTCCTTCACTCTTTGTTTCTTTTTTCTCTTTCTCTCTCTTCCTCTCTTCTTCACTTCATTTCCAGAAAACTCATTAATCATTCCGGTAAATTTGTATCCTTTTGAAGAATAGCTCTCCCTCTCTCTTTCTCCTTTTCTCTTATTCATCAATTTCCCTATCCTCTTTATGTTTTTTTCTTTCTCTTTCTCCGACCAAATATCATTTTGTTGAATTTATAAAATTGATTTTTTTCAAGGATACCATAAAATATACCCTCCAAACAATCTTTCCTACGTTTGATTCCCTGTTTTCCTCTCTCTCTCTCTTTCCGTCACTCTTTCCCTCCTCCCCGATAAAAATTTACAAATTTGTGCCACTGAAGTAGTATTTCGTATTTTCGAAATTGCTTGATCAATTTTTCATCCTTATAATATTACAGGAAACACCTGAGAATAGGAATTAATTAATTGATTTCGAAATATATTTTTGCGTATAATTTATTAAAAATAAATAAAAATGCGAATTTTAATTTCACTAATTTCACCAATCATTATTAATAACATAATTAAAACATTAAAAATGATAGTTATTCTTATATTAAGTATATTTCAGTGACTAAAATTAAAATTTTTTAATGACTAAAGGGTTAAAATGGTATCATACATAGTAATGTAATGTGATAAAAATTTGAAAGGTCGCCGCTTTCAATAGTTTTAATCGATTTATCACAATGTGATAAAAAACTTTCAATAATTTTAAAATGTTAAAAAAATTTTAAATATGAGAATGTATAAAATGCATCATTTTTATATCTTTCTGGCCTTTTCTTTTCTGCGCTTTTCAAAAGAAAGATATGAAATTGCCTAACAAATATTCATTTTGTTTGTTGCATTTGAAATATTAATTTCCTTTTAATTCTATTCTCATTTTTTTCATACTTTTTTAAATTACAAAATGATATTAATCATCATTAATAGAATTGAATGTGATTGGATATCATTTAATCGATTATTCATTGTGCTTACTGGTAACAGATTTCATTCATGAAATCTTATTATGGTTAATTGAAATTTTAATTCATGAATAATGTATGCCTTTCCCCAGTGCTTTTTTTAAAATCAATATATTAGGCATATTTATGGTATTTTATAGATTACACTAAATTTTCATAATATTACATATTGTTCTTATTTCGATTCATTCTCATAATGATTGGAAATACACCAATTAGGTTAATTTCTAAAATTTAAAATGGAGTTTTTCAATTTGTTTTAAAAGCTTCAAAAGAAGACGTAATTTATTTTGAAAAGTGTTAAATTAAAATTTGTTCATTTTTTTTTTTTTGATGAAAGAATGACATCTTCCTTTATTTTATATTTTCTACATAATGAAATGATATGAGGTGGAAAAAGCTATTCTTATCAGTCATCAAAGGATCGGTCATTTTATTGTCACCAACGATGAACAACAACGACAACAACAACAACAACAACAACAACAATGATTTTGTTGTAGTTTGTTGCGCGAATATTATCCTCCTTCATTCATTCATTCATTTGCAAAAAAAAGAGTTTAAAATATGAAATTGGGAAAGAGAAAGAGATAAAACTAAAGATAGATAGAGAGATAGAAAGATGGAGAAAGAGAGAGAGAAAGAGAGAGAGAGGGAGAGAGAGAAAGAGAGAGAGAGGGAGAGAGAGAGGGAGAGAAAAAGGGAATGAAAAGCAAGTATAGCGCAATTCGGCCTTTAAATATATTCCGTTATTTTATTCCTCATCTTTTCAAGTCATCGAATTTTTAAGATATTGTTAATGATTATTTCAAAAAAAAAAGTGCGGAAACAATTTTCAGCCATCCTTTTTTTAAAAAATTTTCAGGAAAAAGTATTTAATTTGCATTATATATCGTTTTTTTCTCCATTCATAAAATAGCACTGATAAAAACATTTTGTTTTTTTTTTGTTCATTGTTTTGCTCATTATTGCGCTTTTTTTGTCTTCCTTTTTGGTACTTTTGATTATTGCCGAATTAAAAAAAAAAAAACATTTAGATTGAATTGTGAAATTATTATTGTTCGAATATCGTCAGATGTTTTTCCGAAGAAAGGATTGTATTTTAATTATATCTTTCAATAATTGTTTTCTTTCAGTTCCCTCTCTCTCTCTCTCGCTCTCCAACTTTTGTACCATTCTATGAAAGAAAATTTTTTTTAAATAGAGAAAAAGAAAACGAAAGATTGTAAAAATTTATAAGCAAAAAATAAGTTTTATGAAAATTTTCGATAATATGTTGAAAGAAATTAATGATTTATTGAGGGATAGCATATGGTTGTGTGTTTTTTTCCTCTTCTTTTTGTCCGACATTTGATCATTTTCATGAAAGTATTAATCATAGTTGGTTATTCACTTATGCTTGGCTATCTTCTTTTACTTATGCCTACTATACTATCCTTATTTTGTTCGAATAGTTTATAATGAATTCTTTCAGTGATCAATGAATTGCTAGCATAAATGATATTATTGCATTTCTTTTAAGGCAATTTAATTTGGCCAAATTCGAAACTTTATTGAAATTATTTCATTAATACATTCTCAAATTTATTAATTAAAAGATGTGTTATAGCAAAGTGAAAATTTCAATTTGATTGTCA